TAAATAAGCAGCGTGACAATATAAAGACTTGACGTACTTCTTTCCCAGTTTTGAACCAGTCCATTCTTTCATTTCCAGTTCTAACTGTTGCTTCTTGACCTGTATACACGTTTCTCAAGAGGCAGGTATGGTGGTCTGATACTCTCATCTCTTTAAGAATTTCCCACATTTGTCGTGGTCTTCATCAGTTCAGTTCAATTCAGTCGCTCAGTCGTGTCCGACTCTTTGTGACCTCATGAACCGCAGCATGCCAGGCCTCCCTGTCCATCACCAACTCCCAAAGTTTGCTCAAACTCATGTCCCTTGAGTCGGTGATGCCATCCAACCATCTCATCCTCTGTCATCCCCTTCTCCTCCCACCCTCAATCTTTCCTAGATAGTCAGAGGCTTTAGCGTAGTCAATGAAGCAGATGATTTTCTGGATTTCTCTAGCTTTTTCTATGATTCAATAGATGTTGACAATTTGATCTCCGATTCCTCTGCCTTTTCTAAATCCACCTTGAACATCTGAAAGTTCTTGGTTCACGTACTGTTGAAGCCTAGTTTGTGGAATTTTGAGCATTTCTTTGCTAACATGTGAAATGAGTGCAGTTGTGCGGTAGTTTGAGCATTCCTTGGCATTGCCTTTCTTTGGGATTGGAATAAAAATTGATATTTTCCAGTTCTGTGGCTACTGTTGAATTATCCAGATTTGCTGGCATATGGAGTGCATCATTTCAAAGCATCATCTTTTAGGATTTGAAATAGCTCAGCTGTAATTCCATCACCTTCACTAGCTCTGTTCATAATAATGCTTCTTAAGGCCCACTAGACTTCACTAGATGTCTGGCTCTAGGTGAGGGATCACACCATCATGGTTATCTGGGTCATGGAGATCTTTTTTTCTCTTCTGTGTTTTCACGCTGCCTCTTCTTAATGTCTTTTGTTTCTGTTAGGTCTGTACTGTTTCTTTCCTTTATTGTGCCCATCTTTGCATGAAATGTTCCCTTGGTATCTCTAATTTTCTTAAAGAGATCTCTAGTCTCTCCCATTCTATTGTTTTCCTCTATTTCTTTGCATTGATCACTGAGGAAGGCTTTCTTATCTCTCCTTGCTATTCTTTGGAACTCTGCATTCAAATGGGTGTATCTTTCCTTTTCTCCTTTGCCTTTCACTTCTCTTCTTCTCTCAGCTATTTGTAAGGCCTCCTCAGACAGCCATTTTGCCTTTTTGCCTTTCTTTTTCTTGGGGATGGTTTTGATCACAGTCTCCTGTACAATGTTATGCACCCCTGTCCACAGTTCTTCAAGCACCCTTGAATCTATTTGTCTCTTCCACTGTACAATCTTAAGGAATTTGATTTATGTCATATTTGAATGCCCTTGTGGTTTTCCCCATGTTTTTCAATTTAAGTCTGAATTTTCCAATAAGAAGTTCATGGTCTATGTATTATGTTGATCCAATACTTTGGCCACCTAATGCAAACAGCCAACTTATTGGAATAGACCCTGATCCTGGGAAATATTGAAGGCAGAAGAAGAAGAGGGTGACAGGGAATGAGATGGTTGGATGGCATCACCGATTTAATGGACATGAACTTGGGCAAACCTCAGGAGATGGAGAGGGACCAGTGATGCCGAGTGTGCTGCCGTCCATGGGGTTGTGAAGAATTGTACATCACTTGGAGACTGAGCAGCAGCAACATTATGCTGATCAATTAAAGAAGTGTTATTAGGGAGATACTGTTTTATGTGTACTGGTTCTCCACCTGAATCATGGTCTAACTAGTAAGCATTTTATGTATCACTTTATATCTGGAATTATACACCAAGTAAGCCTAATATAGTCTGGCATCCATTTTGGTACAGAGAGATAAAATGGTTTTTACATTTTAGATATTATTTTAAAGATATGTTATGTGTCAATTTACAAAAATTAAGAACACTTACACATGTAAATTTATATAAAATGCAAACTTCAATATCTGTTAATAATATTTTATTAGAATACATGCACATTTATTTATCTACATATCTGTGGAAAATGACAAAAATGACATGGGACAAATATTGTATGGCTCACAAAATAAGAAATATTTCCTAGCTGACCATTTATAGAAAAAGTCTTGATTCATATTTTATAATGTGTGCAAATAATAAAACAAGCTTCTATTTTACTTCATTACTATAAATAAATATTTATGATCTCCCACTTTAAATCTTTCAGAAACTATTATTGTTATTATTCATATATAATGGGAGATGGGGAGCAAGCAGGTGGATAAAAAATGGGAGGAGTTCCCACTTTGAATTAGTTTTGACTCAAATCCATTTCCTCTTCAAAAAGGCATGAGGGTTTTCTAGAGTAATTCATCTAAAAGAAGGGAGAAAAGGAGGGAGAGAGAGACAAAGGGATGTCCTGAGAATAAAATATTTGACTTTTAATATCTTCAAGTAATACAATTTAAGATAATTGATATTAAGTCACTTGATAGCAAAAAATTTTAATGAATTAATTTTGAAGGTAAGTAATGCTTGACTACCAAAAATGTGTAATATATTTCACAATATGGATGACCGATCAATTAGCTTGGCGGAGATGAAATTTCATATGTGCAGCCTTAAAATTTTCATGTGTTAAATTTCGAGCTTGAAAACTGTGCAGCTACATGTAGTAACTCCAAAGATGGCTTTTTCTTCCCGTGAAAATCCTAGTGACAACATACATATTTAGTAAGGACAAACCACCAAGCCTGAAAAAGGAAATAATGTGAATAATCAGTTTGTCAAGAACATGTAAAATAAAAGTGTTATTTTACTTATCTCATAGACCCAGAGCTTATTTATTAATAATTTCTCTGAGGTAAAAAAGGAAAATGTTCAGGTATAGCTGCAATTTTTCTAGCTTTAGTATAAAATCTCAGCTTTCACAGGTGTTAATGAAAGAGATGTAAGTATATGGAAAAGAGAATAGGCACTGAATTATTTATAAAGGTGAATAATAAAGAAGTGCAAAGAACTAGGTAGCTTGGAAGATAGTGATAAAATATGGATCATTTTCGTTATCACTTCTGATCAGTGCTTTGATTAATAGGTGTTTGTAATCCTCACATTAAACCAGTTCCCTTACCAGAATGCATTTATAAATCTGTAGTCAGAATGACTAATTTGCTTTACTCCATATAAATAGTTTTTATTATATTTAAAATTTGGAAACAAGCATACATGGCAAATTAAACTGTATATAGCGTATTTAATAAGGCAAGAAAAAACTATACATTGCTAACATTCTCTAACTTTTTACTATCTACAATCTTATGAATACTTAAACCAACATCCTCAACTCCATATTTAACGAGGTAATGTGACAGAAAAAAGCAAGCCACAGGTTAGGGATCCTCAGGCAACTGTAGATCTGTACATATGGTACATCATCACCAGCCTGATTTTAACTGAGTTTTAGAGCGTTAAGTCTCACATCACAGTTGGTGCCGATATGCACTTTAGTGTTATTGCCTTCTCTTTGCCAAATAAAGATAATTGATGATTTTAGTGTATTTTGAAATTTCAATGCAATGTTTGTATTTAACTTTGATATTTTGTTTTTGCATTATCTTTTTTATTCCCACATCCAATTTGTGTGGGTCGCTGTTAAACATTTAAAATGAACAATTCTTAAAATCATCTTAATATTTTATTCAATCTCAGGTTAAACTGTCCAACCTGATGCCATTTTTTTGAAATTAGTCATATAATATGTGGTTTTCAGGCAACCAAATATATTATAAGAATTCTGAAATTTTATTACAATGTTTATTGTAGACTTTTAGTTCATATGAAGTGATTATTATTTTGATTCCCCAAGTCTTCCAATTTGTAAAAATCATAATAACTTCTACATTTTTAAAATTTTCATGAGGTATACCTTTAGTATCAACTATTTAATAGAAAAACAAAAACTATTAAATGTGTACTAAATTACTTACAAGTACATCTATGATGCTTCGCAATAAAACTCTAGTTTTTCTTAGAGCAAGTGCCACAGTCTATCACATAACATTTTCCCAAGGTATTTCCACTGTAGATGGGAAAGGACCAAAGGAAGCCATAGAGCTCCACTCTGACCTTGCTTGGAACAGCGAGGCCCGTAGAATATCAGCGGGACTGGTTCCCAAACAATAACTTCACTAATAGGAGTGAAGGGAGGAAACGCCAACTGCTGAATGAGAAAAACGTTTCCCTGTGGGTAAGTTGCTCCACTCACATTTGAAAGAAGTGTAGAGTGAAGTCAGTGTATGGATGGGCTCCAGTGGGGTGTAGAGTGTATGTTTGGGTGTTAGCGGGGGAAGGGGGCGTCACACACAGGAACCAGCGTGACTTTGGATGGCACGTGCCTCCTGCTCTCAAGCACAAATGTGTACTTCAGTCTTCAGCACCGTCCGTTTTCTGCGACCTCACTTTTGACAGCATATTGAAGGGATGAAGAAACTCTCTAAGAGTTGTTTTTATTTATGAGGAATGTTATAAATAACCAGGTTATGAAATCAATGTCTAACTAGGATAGTAGTAAGCATTCTAAAGAGTGAATGATTGCGATTTATGGAGCTAATCAAAACTTGCATATTGTTGAAAACATTCCAACACCAGCAACATCACCATTGATACTTCATGAACTCCTAACTTGTGCAGGACATCATCCCAGGCACTGTAACTTCAAAGTGAGGTAGATACACGTCTGCTTTAGAAGTCGGCATATCAGTTGTCTATTCTCTAGTCATCCCCTGTTTTTCCTTTTCAGTAGAAACCGGGCTTATAAAAGTATCCTCCACTCTCTCCTCGCATCGCAACCCCCCTTTCCACCACGAGCCCATGCAGGTCTAGGGAAAGCGAGCACCGCCGTTGGACCTGCGGGGCCACCAACGACTCTGGGAACTACTCAGGCCAGTATCACATGAGAACACTGTGGGCCTTCCGGAAAAGTGTCTACATCACACACACACACATATATAAAGACAACATAACGGTGTCTCGTCTTTGCTTTTGTTTCTTTGCTCGTCTTTGCCGCTACGACATGTGAACGCAGCGGCCCTTCCGCCGCGGTTGTAAGAATGAAGCCGCGCGGTGGGTGACGGAGCAGAGGAACTGAACAGTGAGTCGCTGCATCCGCTGACTCTCTTTTGTGGCCTGCTGGGTCTCGGCTGCCCCTGGGCTTTCTCTGGCTGCGGGTCGGGGCTCCTCTCTGGCCGTGGCGTGCGGGTCTCTCCCGGCAGCGGCTGCTCTTGGCTCCAAGCGCGAGCCTCGGGCGTGCGGACCTCAGGAGTCACGGCACGTGGGCTCAGCGACATCGGCTCCCCGGCCCCAGATCACGGGCGCTGTAGTCCCGGCACCCAGGCTTGGTTGCCCCGAAGCACGTGGGGATTTTCCGGATCAGAGCGCCAACCCACGTCTCCCGCACTGGCAGGAGGATTGGATTCTTCACCATTGAACCACCAGGGAAGCCCCTTCAACTGACTTTAAGGCCACTCCCCATTTACCATAGACACACTTCTAGACTTCATGCAATATGCAAAATATATTTTCTTACTAATTAAGGCAGTCTGAGCGAGGCATTTTAGTTTTTTGCAGTTGAAGCATATTTTAACTAATGCCCTAGGAGCTTTAGTAGCTTTTCAGAATGTGTTACAGATACACATAAAATAATAAAATAATAATAGTTGTCACTGAGGGCTTTCCTTTTTGTCAGGCCTAATGCCAAATATTTTAAGTGCGTTATTTCAATAATCCTCCCACCAACACACAAAAACTAAGAGACAGGTGTTACTGTTTTTAGTCACATTTTAGACAACTAGGATGTATACTCTAAGATAGTGACAGAAATAGGATTTGAATTCAGGCATTTGGTCTTCAGGACTTGAATTATGATGGTTCTCTAGAAGGTTATATATTCTCAGAAAAGACCCAAAGCCTCACTGAAGTTTCAAACAATTTCAGATATAGAATTTGCCAATCTAAAAACAGTGAAGAATTCATGAGCAAGTAGAATTTGAGTTGAGTGACAAAGAGAAAGGGAGGCCAAAACAACCAGGCCATTGGTCAGTTCAGTTCAGTTACTCAGTCGTGTCCGACTCTTTGCTATCCCATGGATCACAGCACGCCAGACCTCCCTGTCCATCACCAACTCCCAGAGTTTACCTAAACCCATGTCCATTGAGTCTGTGATGCTATCTAACCATCTCATCCTCTGTCATACCCTTCTCCTCCTGCCCTCAATCTTTCCCTGCATCAGGATCTATTCAAATGAGTCAGCTCTTCACATCAGGTGGCCAAAGTATTGGAGTTTCATCTTCAACATAAGTCCTTCCAATGAACACCCAGGACTGATTTCCTTTAGGATGGACTGGTTGGATCTCCTTGCAGACAAGGGATGCTCAAGAGTCTCCTCCAACATCATGGTTCAAAAGCATCAATTCTTCGGTGCTCAGCTTTCTGTATAGTCCAACTCTCACATCCATACATGACCACTGGAAAAACCGTAGCCTTAACTAGACGGACTTTTGTTGACAAAGTAATGTCTCTAGAGAGAGGTATTTCAGGCCCAGGTGAGGGCATGAAAGCAAAGGTAGAAGTGAGCTTATCACTCTTCTGTGAGGAGTAGTGGGTTGAGATGGCCAGATTCTTGAGAGGATCAGAGATTTGAAAAAGGCTGGAGGAAGGGGAGGCACCATGACGGAGACTGACGCCTTCATTCCCTTAAGGTTTCTACATGACAGTCCCTGAAACCTGCGAATCTGTTGTGTGCAGGGAAGAGTGTGTTAGTCGCTCAGGCCTGTCTGGATCTTTGCTACCCATGGACCTGCCAGGCTCCACGGGCCAAGGAATTCTCCAGGCTAGAATACTGGAGTGCGTTGCCATTTCCTTCTCCAGGGAATCTTCCTGACCCAGGAATCGAACCCTGGTCTCCTACATTGCAAGCAGATTTTTTATCGTCTGAGCCACTACATGCAAATGGAACTTTATAGATGTGATAAAGGTTAGAAATTGTGAAATCAGAAATTTGCCCTGGATCATCTGAAAGTGAAAGTGAAAGTCGCTCAGTTGTGTCCGACTCTTTGCAACCCCGTGGAGTATACAGTTCATGGAATTCTCCAGGCCAGAATACTGGAGTGGGTAGCCTTTCCCTTCTCAAGGGGATCTTCCCGACCCAGGAATCGAACCTGGGTCTCCTGCATTGCAGGCAGATTCTTTACCAGCTGAGCCATAGGGAAGCCCCAATCACCTGAGTGTGCCCAATCTAATCACTTGAGCCCTTGAAATCAGAGCAGTTTCTCCTGCTAGAAGAGGGCAGAAATGAGGCAGTAAACAGATGGCAGGTCTGAAGTGTGGGAAGGACTCCACCTGCCTTTGTCTGCTGTGAGGACAAAGAGGGAAGGCGCTGACAAATGCAGGTAAACTGAGGAAGACCCCCTTACTGACAGGCCGCAGGGACACTGGGGCCTGAACTCCTAGAATTGAGTTCTGCACATAAGGTGGCTGAGTTTAGAAAAACATTCGTCTGCAGAGATCCAAAAAGGAACAGAGAGCTGCCCGAACCTTGAATTTGGCCTTGTGTAACCTAGAGCGGAGAAGTGGCCATGCCCCGTTTATTCCAAGACACTGAACCACACCTCTAGGAGATCCTACAGGAGTGTGGTGCTCTTAGCCACTAAGCGTGTGGTTATTTCTTACAGGCAGCCTGCATGCTAAGTCGCTTCAGTTGTGTCTGACTCTTTGTGACCCTATTGACTATAGCCCGCCAGGCTCCTCTGTCCTTAGAATTCTCCAGGCAGAACACTGGAGTGGGTTTCCCTGGCCTCCTCCAGGGGACCTTCCCAACTGAGGGATCGAACCCTCATCTCTTACATCTCCTGCATTGGCCGTCGGGTTCTTTATCACTAGTACCGCCAACCCACTCCACTATTCTGGCCTGGAGAATCCCCATGGACAGAGGAGCCTGGTGGGCTACAGTCCCTGGGGTCGCAAGGAGTCAGACAGGCCTGAGTGAGTAAGCGCAGCACGCCACCTGGAAGCCCTTACAGGTGGCATGGAACACGATCAGAGGGACCCAATAAATACAGACATTGAGACAAGCAAATGCAACAGAAACAGAAACTCGTGTCTTCTGCATGGCGGTCTATAGAAAACTAAGTGTTTAAAGTAAAACACCAGATTAAGCAAGTTAAAATATTTAATTAATTGACTTCTTACATTTTAAATTTGGAAATGAAATACTAAGGTGAACATTCAAGACAAAGAATATGTGGTGCTTCTCAAACTTATTTAGGTTTAAGCTACCTAGAATTTGTTATAAATCGCTGAGATAATCCATTCTAGTTACAACTACACTCAACTAAATATTCACTGAAAATTATGCTACAGTTTGCCTTTTGATTCATTTATATCACATTAAATTAATTTTTCAGATTATCTGATTGTTTCTTTAGATCTGAGTTCTTTGTTCTCAATCTTTTATTATCCCCTCTTCCTTTTCATTTTCTTTATTATTTTATATAATTTTTTCTCTATTCGTGTATTTTAAAGCAAGCAGAAAATTTCCTGCCATTTACAAACATGTAAAAGACTGCAGTTCTCACAGGGCAATATTCTGCAGTTTTTAGATGGATATGTATTGAGTATTTCAGACTTACAAAATTGCGTGGCAATAACACAGCCCTAGGGTGTAAGATTTAATGATTTCTCAAAATTTCCTGGTGAAAAGTAATTAGTACTTTTTAGACTAAAATAATTTAGTCACACTGAAATGAGTATTTCCTTCTGGCTGAGCTTTCAGCACACATATATATGCATACTAAGGGAAATTTTTAAATGAATTGTTGGATAAGACCAAGGAAGAGTCTCAACAGAGAATCACCAGAGTAATGAATAAAATGATATCATGTATGAATGGACAGAGGAAGCAATAAAAATTTATTAGGGTGGCATACCAAAGATCACCAAAAATCAATAGCAATATAATTTTTGCCTGACAATGTGAGAAATAATTTCAAGTATTAAAAGACAATAAGACAGTAGGTTATTGTTACCAATCAGACATTTTATGTACCTAATCTATATAATCTTGAATTTATATATATACATATTAAGTTTGTAATTAAAACAATAGAAAATGAGATTTTAATACAATTTCCATGAAATAACATATGCTAAAAGTGTGATCTGTTCTAAACCAACCATTTTCCTCCATTTTTCTTATTTTATGTCTTGTATATTTTATCACATTGATATTATCAATAAATTCATATGTTGAAAACTAAAAACCATTTTTGTCTGCTGCTTCTTTCTTCACTGTCTAGTTTGTTTGCTTTTTCAAAAGCTCCTTTATGTATGTTTAATATGAAATTTTTGCTATAGAAAGCAAGTAAGAAATTTTAATCAATGAAACAAAACCCTAATGCTGAATATAGTCCAGGTCATATAAGCTTGTAGTAAGTCTTAACTTTGTTCTTAGGTTTTCAAAATTACCTCTAGGTTTTATCATCAATATTTCTATAGTGTATGGACCAATAGATAAACATTTATAAACATGGTATCTCTTATGTACAAAACTCAAGTTATATAATTAATGTGATAGGTCAAATAATTTTGTTTTACATCATGGGCATAAAATTCAGCTCAGATTAAAGTTGGTTATTTATTATTAGCTTATATAAAATATAGAGCTTCCCTGGTGGTTCAGATGGTAAACAGTGCCTGCAATACAGGAGACCTGACTTTCATCCCTGTGTTGGGAGGATCCCCTGGAGAAGGGAATGGCTCCCCACTGCAGTATTCTTGCCTGGAGAATCCCAGGGACAGAGGAGCCTGGCGGCTACAGTCTACGAAACTGCATAGACTTGGACACGGCTGAGCGGCTGAGCACACCTGTGCTTTTCTTTCAAGAACCTGTTGATACACATTTATTTATATAGAGTATAAATTTAGACATAGTTTCTACACAATTATTTGCCAAGGCTAATTAAAGATTGCAAACTCATTCAGTTCAGTTCAGTCGCTCAGTCGTGTCCGACTCTTTGCGACCCCATGAATCGCAGCACTCCAGGCCTCCCTGTCCATCACCAACTCCCGAAGTTTACTCAAACTCATGCCCATCGAGTCAGTGATGCCATCCAGCCATCTCATCCTCTGTCGTCCCCTTCTCCTCCTGCCCCCAATCCCTCCCAGCATCAGGGTATTTTCCAATGAGTCAACTCTTCACATGAGGTGGCCAAAGTACTGGAGTTTCAGCTTCAGCATCAGTCCTTCCAATGAACACCCAGGGCTGATCTCCTTTAGGATGGACTGGTTGGAT